GGAGTTCCGCGGTTACGTCGACCCAGCCGGAAGTCACGGCTCGTTTTCCGTTGTGTAATCCTCCCTATTGCTGTCCAACCATTTCGAGATGATCGACGTGAGATTGCATAGCGATGGCCAATGGGACAGGCTGTGTATGTAGAAAATGAAATTTTGCATTCGCACTGGTTGTAAATTGAAACTTTCTTGGGTACATTTACCGTAATGTGTATCGACGAAAGTTTGATGGTTGATGACAGAGATTTTCAGATAAGATAGAGGAAGTGGAGAATGGATGATGTGTATGACTTTGGAAAGATAAATCAACACTTTCTTTTTTGCTGAAATTAACTCATTTGCATCATGTTTAAATAGCCTCGCCAGTATCAGTGGAATTTGATTTAAATAGCCTAGTAGTGGAGCAGCGTAGTTGGCAGCTTCATAAAATGTTTAAGCAATCATGTAAGATCAACTAGTAAATATTTTTACCTGATTACATGATTTATATACGATTATATATGACTTATATATTTTATGTGATTTATATATGATTATATGATTTATATGGTGAAAAAATTTGATGTAAGTATAGCTCGTCCTATGAGGCGACTGGGTTAACAGTTTATAAAGCAATATTTCATTATAGATGTAAATATATAATAAGAACAACTAAAATTTAAATAAAAATATTATATTAATAATAGAAGGAAAACATAACATCATTATATCAATCATCATATCAACAATCTAATGAATACTCCTCAAGCCAAACAAGAACCAGGCACTCTAACTCGCCCAAAACGATTAAACCCATTTTCCAAAGAAATCATAATCGAATCATGCAGAAAATCTCTTTTCCCTTCACCATGGTCGAGTAAAAACTACGTAGGCAGACCGATCAATTTTTTCCCCGCTCTTATGCAACAAGTGTTTTCTTCGATCGAAGCCTACGACTGCAACATTTTCTAATTATCCATAATGTGTATCTGTAGCGTGGAAAACATCAGTTAATTATTCAAGAGAGTGGTTGGTACGGTTGGTCCTTGATCAATTTTTCGCGTGCTCTATGTTCTCCCTGTTTCTTTTTCTCTGTCTAGATCGATGCAACTACGGTGTCGTTGCAGCACAAGCGAACCAGGTCATTGGTTGGTAAACCGGTCCACTTTTCATCCCAAAAAGCTTCGGTTGTTAATTAGTGGATCAGTTTTTCGAATTTTCGAGGGTTGGCCACGCGGTTACCGGAAGTGGAACGACTCCGCGGTCAGCGGAGCACCGAATAAGGGGTCCGAAAGGGTCGATCGCTATTGGTGAAAGGGGTCCGTATGCAATGCAATCGTTGTGCCCCCGCCTCATCTTGGGCTCCCTAGGCTTGGGCAGGGCCTCGCTATAAAAGCATACCGCGTCGCCCCTCAGATACGTAGTGTTTTCCCGTGTACAGCACAAGAAAAATCGACCACGATGAAGATCGTCGTAAGTCTCGAATCGCTGGCACAGTCTTCGGTATTTTAGCTACCGCGGGACTTAGGCTTCGACTCTCTGTTTCTCTGCTCTTAGACACCAGAGAGAATTTTTAAAGTATTCTGTACTGGATATCTTTGACTTAGAAGTATCGTTGTTCTTTGGAGTAATTCCTGTTGGTTGGACATACAAACTTTGGCTCGGATTTTTCAAGTTTGCTCTGGGAAACCTGGACTTCGAATTTTGAGAGTTAATCTTGGTCTCCTTTGCTTTGTTGTAACGAAACGATATTTCGTGTTTTAAATATTGTAATCTTTGTTTCCTGATAATAGACAGTGGTTTTACTGGTTTTCTCTGATTTTATTCTATAGTAGAGATTTTTCGGAGTATTCATAATTTATAGGGGATACGTAATTTTTTGCTTTTTTTAAATAATTCTCTACAAGGAAGGAATAATATATATTTTTATTAATAGATTTTAATATATAAATATATTCTTTAATTTGATATATGAGTTGCTCAGAAGCCAATACGGTTAAGTTCATTTTTTGATATTTTCTGATTTTTGTAAATTCTAATGGAATAAATAATATTCTTTTTGGTTATTCAAGGATTTACGCTATTCTTCGTTTTTTCTAGGTCAGAAAGTCCTTCTTTTTGTAACTTCTGAATATGTTGTATAATAATTTCAGAAGGCAAAACATTAAAACTTTCAATATTTTTATTCAATCAAATATTCTTACTTAAGCTTTAATAATATTATAATGTTTAATATTTTATTCAATCAAATATTCTTACTTAAGCTTTAATAATATTATAATGTTTAATATTTTATTCAAGCAAATATTCTTAATCAATCGAATTTTTGTTATATCAATCTATGAGGATTATCGTTGAATTATCTACACGTTGCAATTTCAGATTGTTCTTTTCGCCCTCATGGCCGTCGCCAATGCCTTCCCCGGACTCCCATGGGCCGCTCCGGTAAGTGAAATTTTCAATTATTTCAATGTTCAGCTCTGAATTTCAAGTGAATCGAAATATACGCAGTTTCTATTACTTTCTGAAACTTCACTTAACTACAGCATGTTGCATAACAATTTTCTAATAATATTCTACATTCAAATGAACGAAAGTCCGTGTTGCACTCTCTCAATATAAAAAAGCGTAACACATTTCTTCGTAACTGGCATTCGTCGAAGTATGTATATAACATATCTTCCACTTGGCAGCTGTGTGACAGGTTGAACGAACATCATAATATTTTCTCGTACATTATCAAGATACAGTAACAAGAGTAACTATCAATGTCTGTGAAAGATTGTTATTAAATCAACATTGTCAAAGCAATAAGAAACATGCCAATTAAATATCAAAAAAGCTACATTATAGGTAACATGGAATGTCATTAGACCTGACGAGTTCTGAACTATTTTCACTGCGCTCGATATTCCCTCGTTACTTGTTAATCATTTAGGCCTACGAGGCAACATCTAACGAGAGGGACAGCGTTCACATTACACGAATAATTACTCCAACATTATATAATAGCAACGAAATTAATGAACTTATTATAACCAACGTCTAATTGAAAGAGCTCTGTAATTCATTCTGTATTGCTTTGACAACTCTAATCGGTCTTCTATTAATCACTCACTAATGCAGCCATTGCGTAACTCGTTCCAAGTGATTCGACGGAACTTGGAGAACTCGATTAAGGAGATGATTCACAAACGTTCTCTCCTTTTAATCGTCTAACGTCATCTCTTCAGCATCCACTTCTATTTCTCGTTTAATTTTCGTCAATTCTTCTCACCATCGTTCTCCGTGAAACCGAGTAACTGGACCTACTCGGTGGGAAAAATAACCAAACGTAACCAACAGTTGCTCCTCTATAGGAGACCGTTCTATATTGAATCGTATTTTGGTAATTTTGGACCACTTAGGTTTCGGCACCGTGGCCAGCGCCTGAACCTTGGCCGGCAGCTGCACCTTGGCAACCTTCATACGTGAAGGTCGCTGAACCTTCGTACGTGAAGGTCGCTCAACCTGCGTACGTGAAGGTCGCCCAACCTGCGTACGTGAAGGTCGCGGTGCCTCAGGTAACGACAAAGATGATGAGTAACGGTGCATCAGGTAACCAACACGACGGGAACAGTGATCGGTGACAGACTTTCTGTCCTGGTACACTGGTTTCTTCATCGTACCATTCGTGAATAACTATCATCCAGGAACCATAATGTCGAGTTAGGAGTCTTACGGCGTTCACAGTCTTTTGTCGAGTTTGTTAATAATATTCTATTCCTCGTTGATTATGGTAATCTTCGAGGTCGAAGCTCTAGCGCTATGTCCAGTTTTGTTACCATGTTGATACTGATATTCTATTGGTTTTTGCTTTCAGTAGTTATCGAGATTAAAGCTCTAGTACCATGTCCCAGTTAGCTAAAAATTATTAGGAGAATTTCTGAGAATTTCTCTTTAGAGTGATCTTTTTAGCTACCTTTCCAAAGAAGATATTCTCTAGAAATCGTAATGCCGAGTTCTCATCAGTTGTTGGGAACTAAGAACGATCAGCATCATTGACCATGCAGTGTTCCGTGTTCCAAGCGATGATCATTAAAATCATTCTCTCCCATCATTGTGATGTCTGATCCAATCTGAGTTGATACGATTCGTTCCCAACGACGACCGCATCATCGATAATTTCTCATTTACCGTGATTAACGGTCTGTCTAACGCTGACCGCTCATTACGAGTCACGTAACCCGACTTTCGAGCCGGCGAGGAAGCGGAATCGAACCGCAATCATCATTTACTGGGATTCCTGTCAGGGATCCGCGAACCTATCTGACGAAACTGAGACTGTTTGGTGTTCTTTCGTAAGAGCATCTCCCAATGTGTCTAGCTCGATTCCCTGACCGTTGCTCTAAACTAGAATCGCTGATACGTTCAAAAATTTTTGCCTTCATTGTTTAGATTCTATTGATTCTTAAATAATTACGTTTATATTCTACAGTGAGGACTTGATAGGTTATTCGAACTGCAAACGAGCACTTCATATGCAAAAGGTGGTGATAACCATCGATGAAATTGGTTTCTAATCTTGTTTCTAAGATATCAAATTCATTCCAAGGTTAAATTCAGTATAATCAGCATATTTGAATAACCAGTGAACATTTAAAAGATGATAATGATAACAGATTTGAATCAAACTTCCAGAATAAGTCCAATGAGAATTCACCCAAGCCTCTCATCGATCCCAAACAAATAATCAATCTTACTACCAAAATCCTCAAACTCTTCATTGCACTGCAAATCTTCATACAATGGATCCAAAAAATCCTCCTCCTTAAAACCTGAATCCCCACAGAGTCTATTCATAATGTTCAGTCCGTTCACTAAAAAATCCACTGAACATCCTCTATCTTCGTTCCCATATCTTAATCCCCAAGCAAATTGTTTAACATTTCCATTCTCTCAGGTACATCCGGAAGTGCACCAAGTGCTCCAGGTACCCCAGCAGCAGTCGATCCCGCCCCCACACCCCCAGCCGTTGAACATTAAGGTTCACGCTTCGTCGAGTAGAATCCCGTACCACCCACCGCACATTGTCAAGCCTCATCTGGTCGGCTACGAGGCGTACGTCGAGCCCGTCAAGGTTGTCAAGGCCGCCGCTCCTGCCCATCACCCTTGGGACTAAGGTACTAAACGGCACCAACTGACCCCGCTGGTCCAGGGTGACATCATCCGTCCTGGGCGAGCCTGTCCCGAGGTGCTTCACGTAGCGACGCCTTACGATATATAACGATAACCACGGCCAATCATCGAAATTCTCTCGGCTGGGAAGAAGGGCCCGAGGACCGTATACAACGAGGAAGCGACCGGTTTCCAGCAAAAACATAGGAGGAAAACTTTAAACCCGAGTCGTTCGTTCCACAGGAAAACAAAGTGGACCTCGATCGTTGATCGAGCTTGCACAAGCTTGATTAAGAACGAGTGTCGAACGTTCGATCAGTATTATCCAGTGGAAACCAAGGGGACGAAGGACGCGACGCTCGGGTTTCATCATTAGCGCCCTTTGGATCGGCCAGCATTTTCAAGATCATCTACGCAGCCAGACATTTCAAAGAAAAATTATTTCCTTCTGTTTTTCGTCTTCCCCCAGCTTCTGCTTTTCTAGAAAGTTTCTTTTACATCGTTTACCCGAGCGCAGCGACTTCTTTTTGCTATCATCCCTTGCCCTAGCTTCCCCGGAGATCTTGTTTCCATCGTCTTGGTCCATTCACGTCGGGATTGTACGGTACGTGATACCGGAGCGTTCGTTGTATATTTCTCTACTCTTCTTTCCGCCTGTCAACCTTCAGCCCACCCTCTCCCCCTGATCATACTTCTGCAACACTTTTATTTATTTTCTAATAAAAGTTAATTTTTATGTCTTGTGATAAATATTGTTGTTTTATTTTCTTGATCCTTGTATCATGATTTAGAGGTTGGGAGTCTTTGGTTGTGTAGTTGGTGCTGGAGGAATTGGGGTTGATTATGAGGTATTAAGGATAGTGGACAGTAGAAAATGTCAGGTTCAAAGGAGCTTTCAACCAAGAGATGATTGAAATTAAAATAGTTTGAATATTTAATTTTCGAAAATACAGAAAAGACTAAGAAGGAAGTCTCTTGAGTCCCCTAAAATTTTAATTATCCTTTTCATCCGAAGTATCTGGACAATATTTTTATTATCGTCTATATCTTCGAGATTGATACTAAAAATCATTCTAGCTTCGTCTGTATTAAGAACAGTGCCCAGAAAAGTCAGAATGAAATGTAACTTATCAACAGAATTAGAATTTACTTTCGTGAATTTGAATTCAACCACGAAGAAATATAATTCTCATTATCAAATTTTTGAAGGGCACAACATCGTTTATGATTACAGGCCTGACCTTATCACTAGGTGCCCTCAGATTAGAATGTTATATTATACATTCTTCCTGTTCCGTGTTAGGTATATGCAATTCCCGTAGGGTCGTCAGCCGCATTACGATCGTGAGCATACGCGACAAGGAAGACCCGTGATAGAAATCAATCCGATGTCTCCAGGGTAACCAATCGCGCAAACAGAACGTTCAACCCGCTGCCATTGTTCTCGCAGTGCATCGTATTGAGAGAAAAAACACGCCGATTCGCTTCGTTTTCCGTATATTTCCGAAACGTCGATCTCTCGAGTTCCTCCATGCAACTGTCGCTCAAAAGTGTCTCGGCAAAAAGATTTCTCCCGTGCGAGCGGACGGTCCAGAAGATTGTGATCTCTGGAAGAATGGTAGAGGCAGCTGATACTTTATTCATTCACTTGGATAATTTTATCATTAAGTGATAATACTGTGACGAAACTAGATTTTCGTGGAATAGCTTGTATGAATCGTTCGTACGTCGAAGCGTTTAATGAAACGCGCTATTATTCAAATTATCGTCCGCATCTTAATTTAATTACGTGTTCCGCTTGTTCCCCGCCGTTTCGTCGGGAATTCGTTCCCTCCGGTGGCGCAATTACCGTTTAAAGTACTGACCGTGTTCCGCGCGATCGTTATTCTAGTTGCATTTGTACGAAAAAGAAGAGGGAAAAAAGGCAGCGGGAGCACTCGCCGGTCGACACTGTAAGACTTGCGCAACGTGAAAGCGCTATGAATCGTAAATCGTACCGACGTGTAGCATGACGCGGCCATCGATAAAAAAACATGGAACGGGGAAAACGATCGCGTAAAAGCGAAAATTAGCCATCTCTAGGATCAATGGAATTCATTCAAGGATTTCGAGGGTTCTGCATCGATGCGATTTACTGCGGAAATTTACTCTGCTCGGTCTGATAATCGTTTTAGCTGTTCATTGTTCCTAGTGTTTATTGATCGTAAAAATGTTTGAATCAACTGTAAAATCCTATCGAAATTTATTATCGATAGTTAACGGCTTGTGCGATTTATTATTGCTTTCGATGTTTCGTGATGAGACTCTCAAATGAAAGGAAAAACGGAAATTAGTGTTAGAATTGTTTGTACAGTATAGTAAACAGTTTCGTTGGTGGTAGAAGCATCCGAAATAATAGAATTACATATAAAGTTTCAAACTCCTTCTCAATACATAACAATTTCTATGATTTATTACCATTTTCGATTTTTCGTCGAAACTTCTTAATCCCTTGTCCTATATTTTTCGCATCCGTGCTTGATAAAATTACTTCACCGTTATTAATTTAACAGTTAAAAAAAAGAATTTGACACTTATTATTAAATTATACAATTTAGGTTTACTCTAAAGGTTGAACATTGACAATAGCCAAGTAATATTTCATTTATACAAAAGAATAAATAAATATAAGTTAGATTTGCCGAGTCCGAGCGAAAATTTTCATCACGACTCTGACTCGATATTATAGGGGAAGCGGTTAACCACATCTTCGATCCATCATCGTTTCCAACGTTTCACAAAGAGACTATTTAACGGTAAGAAAAATGACAATTAATGCCAGGATTGTTTTCACACGATATAGTGGGTATCGAAAAGATTGCCACGGATTTCTGTAATTACGGCGCATCGTGTTTCCGCACAAGCGAACCGGAAAATAGCTGAATTGCGTGGCGATTGCTCGACGATACAGCCGGTTTTCCGTGTGCGTCGATCACGAGGATTTCATCGACCGTCCTGCTTCGTTCTATCCTTTATTGCCGGCGGCTGGCATAATCGGTTGACAGTCGTAATTTAGCATAACGAATTACGTTAATAGATCCCCGCGGCCCGATTTTCACAACGAGCGGAAAACGGGAGCTCGGCAAAATCGTTCACGGATCGCGGAAGAATCTCGTGCGCCGTCTAATTGTATTATTACGCGCGAATTTCAATGACTCTTACGGAACTTGGCACGCCGAATTAATTAACTCGTGCAGTTTACCGGGAAATTCTATTGTTTGGTAGTCAGCGTGGCGATGACCATCTTTCACGATATCTGATCGTTGGATCGTGGTTTTTCGTGCTCGTAGCGTGCGTAGTTGTGCGAACTACATTAAAATGCGGATTAATATGCAACAGTTATTCAATCGTTAGATAAATGTGGATGCTGATCGAGATAGGACATCGATTATTAATTATATAGTACTGCGAATGGAAGGTAAGATGAGATTTATATGTTTGCGATAGTAAACTTTAATTGGGACACTTCCTTTCAGATATTTCTTGACGAGGAACTAATATTAATTATCGTGCTGAGAGAAAGAGAATTTCTTTGATAATAGTGCTGTTGAGAAATTATAAACGTGCTAGAACATTAGTTATTGTATACTGTATTTTGTACGAGCGTTGCACTGAAAAGGATGCAATCCATCAGAAGAAATAATACAATCGTAATCAAGGAAGTTGCGATTAGATTTCATTTTGCTTGGATCAGTTTTTTTTTATCGTAGTTATATTGCGTAACATTCTTTTTGATTTACTTATAACTACTGCAATTATGTAGATCTATGCATTCACGGTTACTTGTAATTGATTTTTAATGACTTACCGAGCAGTAGACATGTGTTTTCAGCAATATTCATTCTAAAGCATCGATACTATAGATATAGCCAATAAAATTTCTAATCAGGAATGTTACAAAATATGAATAAATTATGGACAACCGAAGGAATGCAGAGGTTAGTAAAAATTGGATCTCAGTTTGCTACACTGACGATGCTAATCAAAACGGTTGTGCCAGGTTCCGTTCGGTTCGACAAATGAAATCGAAAGGCAAAACGGTGCGCGAAGAATTCCAATCCTCGGCGAAAAGCGCTCCCAGCGATTCCCTCCGGCGTGTTCCCTGTCATTGCGATTCAGCGCAGACACTTTTCTGCCTCGCTCAGCCGGCGATTTCTTCGCTGGCCACCTTCCGCGCGTTCCGAGAACGCGAAGGAATCGAAAGGGAACTCGCAAATTCATTACCCGCCGGCTTATTTAAAAGCGAGCGCAGTTATTTGCGATTCAAGAATGCAAATGTATGTCATTATTATTTATGAAACGTTTGCGACCAACTTTCCGTGGGATTTTCTATCCGCGGAACTCGGTTTTTGCGATCCGACCGTGTTACAGAGACGCCATTTTGACGCACGGTGTCACAATGTCACCCACTTTCCCGGTAGACATCGATTATGTTGTTTCCTCTTTCCACGAGTCATCGCGTGATATTGGTATCGATCGGTGAAACACCGTTTTGCTTATTTTAATCGATAATTAATTGACTTTCGTCTGTATAAGGAAGTTTACTTAGAACTTGGAATATAGATAGTTTATTACTAATACGTAGATAAATACGTAATTGTTTTCTTAATTGTTGGATGGTAATCTTAATCGTTTCCAATTTGTTCCATTATAATCATATATCTTTATATTGGTTTACGAAACATTAATTGCAATGCACAATTAATGATGGAACCATTTTTGTAAGGATGTTATAATTGATACTTCTTATTTGTGGGTTTCATAAGATCCATCCGACACTAAAGACAAATATAGATATTAGTCATGATGAACATTATCGAACACTGATTTCCCTTTATATAAACTAATGCGATTTACATAAACTCAATTTGTTTTTTACGATGCTCTTCACCTATTACGCGAACTAACGACGCTTCGTACGTTTCAGACAGTTTCTTTTCCGCTTTCTCTGGGTAATATAACGTTTCCGAGGCGGACGAAAGAAATTGCTTTATCGCCGATCAGCGCAACGTAATAAAGTTGCAGCAAGGACGACCGAACGTTGCCGTGCGTTGTCCCCTTGATTAAATTTCAATCGCGCGAATTGCAACTTCCGTGCGTTAACGTTCTGTCAGAGCGATTCGGGGTTCGGAATATATTATGCGTCGTGATCTAGACTGTGCGTTCCAGCCCGAAGAGAACTTTCTTCGAATCGTAAGCGGCGGCGATATCGATCACTGCTTCCGTAGCGTTGCATGTTTTAATGATAAACTCTGCATACGTCGATTAGTACTAAGGTCGATTGGAAGAGCTCTTCTTTTTCATTTTTAGAAGTGTGATCTATAATTGGAATCTATTCTAGAGGACTACAGAGGTTATAATTAATTTTTTATGTATGTATCTTTTGTATTCTTGGTTGATCTTGCAAAAGAAACGGGAAAATTATTTTAATTTCTATTCGTAATGTTTCTATAGTTTCTATCAAAACTCACAATGTCTCAGGCATCCAATTAAATGTAAAAACGAAAAGTAATTTCGCATTATATGATCACTTTCATTTTTACGTAAGATTCTTTGCTCTTCGAAAATGGTGAAAATGATATTACCGTTGGAAAAGAAATTATTCCAGGAATTGGAAATTGCTACCTACTTTAATAACGCGAGTTGAAAAATTCGCGACGGTTAAACAGTTTCCATTTGATTCAGTGACTGTCATCTACAGCGTAAGAATTTTTAATACCCAGTTCTTTCAACATCAATTTTATTCGCGGGCGCCACTCGTTATTTTCAAATTGTGTTTCTCCCATTTTCAATATTTATGGTAAGAAAATTATTTATTAATTTATTAATAACCAAATTCAGAATGCAATGACTTTATTGTTATCATTTCCCATCGCGCGAAATTCCTAGTAGTCCACAAAATTTAATTTAACAATTAGTTAAACAAATCTGCTTACGTTGCGTCTTTCGACTATTTCTCCAAGCACATTTTAACACGTTGGTTGCCATGGGGGTCACCGGTGACCCGAACCAAATCGAATTACTATAATTCATTCGATTAAACTATGATTATTTGAAAACTTTTCTATATTACAAGTAATACCACCTAATGCAGTGATGTTCGACAAGATAAACCTGTGATAGTAATAACGTAATTTAATTACATAAATCGATGCTACATTATTTTCATTTTGTATATTTTTCTCGGCAAAATCGTGCGGCACTCAACGTGCTAAACAACATATTCGAAACAATGCAAAATTATCAAAGAGAAAGACGTCAACAATATTCAGAATGCAAAGGGGTTAATCGGTGCCATTTTTAATTACGTAAAATTGATAAGCTGCGAAACTTATTGCACAACAGGTCTGTGGCGGGACTTCATTAAAACTTCAGGGAGGTATAGCCGACGATAAAGCGTCCTGTCGCTGTAATGGGGCGCGACACGTGGCCGGGGTGAACGTAACGGCGGTGTCGGTGAAAATTGACGAGCCGTGGGACGTCGTCGTGGCGAGAACCACTGGCGAACCAGGAAAATGTGAACGTATGGATAGCCCGTTGTCCCTCGAGGTTGTTCAGTGTCGTCAGTTCGATCCGGTCAGTGGGCCATTCAGCATGAACGAGCGCAGTGAGTATATTTATACCCTTTTTATTCACCGTTTCCTGATTGCAGTCCACCTGTGAACCTCTACCACCCGATGTACCGCCTGCGATCACGGTTTGTCTATTTGTCGCACCCTCGAGTCCCACTTCGAGTGTTTCTATTCGAAGACCTTATCTTCATGGTTAATATCGGGATATACCTGCCCTCCTTTTACTTCTTCCTGTAATCAAGATCTACTGTCATTCATGAATCGAGGGTTGCTTTTAGGGTCATTTTAAGCTAAACATCCTGTGACTGACTTCTTAGATAGTTTGTTCTTTTAGTTTTTATTGCGATGAAAAATGAGATCAAGTAGTATGGGGAACAGTCAATGGCCATTTTGATTCCATAAAATGGTACTTCTGATGATTTATTTATAGTCTCAATGAGAGATTTCTTGCTTCTTTTTGTAATCAGGATTTAGTGTCATTCAAGGATTGCCTTTGGGGCAATTTTAAATTAGACATTCTGTCACTGAGTTCTTAGATAGTTCGTAGTTTTATTATTATTGCGATGAGAAATGAAAGAGATGGTAACTTAAATAGTAGACAGTGGCCATGTTGGTTGTATAAAGTGGTTCTTCTGATGATTTACTCATGGCTTCAGTGATAGTAACTGATTCGCTGAAATTTAGACGTTTTCCGTTTCTGCATTAAATTCGTTTCACTGCTAGAATTGTTAATTAACAATAGGTTTGCGTTCTCTAAAGTGGCACTTAAAATCTCTTCGTTCCGGGCTTAGATTAATAGCAATTTTAGAGAATCCTGTTAGAGATACTTTAATCTTAACTACTTCATTATGAAAGTTAAAACGAACTATTAAGCCTTCCATTGGTATTTCATCGTGCACGATGTACTTACATACCTTTTCACAGAGGATGAAGCGCAATCGATTTACACGATCGCCAGCAATACGAACCTGGTCCCGATAAGATCCAAGCAGGCCTAGTAAGTGAACGCGAGATCGACGATCGGCCGGTCAGAAAATGAAAATTAGATCTTTCTCTTTTTCAGCTTCAAGAGGCGAAGGTTCATACCGAATTACTTGATGATATTGCTGTTCGTGCTAATGATTTTCTGCGTCATAGCTGCCGTAGGGCTTTCTATATTGTGTAAGTATATATACATATATTTATTTAGTTTCGTTACTTATTTAATTTCGGTCTTGTAGTCGAAAAATGTGATTCGATTTCACAAAGCTTACAAAATATATCTATGTTGTTATTCCATTTTATTTTTTAATTTAGTTCCGTCTTATTCTAGATATTCTACTTTCGAGGAAACTAAAACCTTTATCTGTTAACATTTTCTATTATTGTATATTCTATAAGTATACACGATTATACGTTCTATAGTCAGTGATTCGAATGAAGTTGTAAAAACGGTAGTTCCATTAAGTAGTACTTTTTAGTATATTTGAATAAAAGTTTTCTTAAGTTTGTTTATAGTTGCATCGTGGATTTCGTGTCTGCGTGTATTTAGTGTATTAAATAATCGGTCTAATCGCTATTGTTTGGAACAAAGAAAGTGTAGATTTAATAACCACGCGCGATTAAATCGCCACCTGCTAAGTCAACTCATTAAACCTGGTGAGATTAGGATCTCCATAATACTTCATAGTAATGTGCGTTTATTGATCTTAATAACATCTAACGCGGATTATTAAGAACACGTTCGTCATTAATCCAGGATTTAAAAAAAAAGATAATTGCTGATAAATAAACGAATATGAGTTAATAGAAGTTTGGGTTGGATTAGATATAAAGTTCAATTTAATTTAAAGTGATTTTAGAAGAGAAGTTTAGTACAGATTTCAATTGATCGAATAAAATTATTTTATTAGAACTTGGGAATTTTATCAGGTAGTAAAAACGAGTATAAACGTTGAAATAGACACTTAGAGAATCTGTTATTGATCTCTTTGCAGATTTTACCTATAAACAGATGAAGATATGCGAATCCGAAAATTGTGTTCGTATAGGTGAGTGTGGTATTATTTTACCATTGTAATTAAAGGAAAAATTAATTTTAATATCAATAATCAATCTATTTAATACGATAGTATGAAATAATCACTCGAGAAGGACACGGAACAAAGAAAATGTATAGTTCATAAAGTTTCTGTTTCTGTAGCGGCTAGTTTCAAAGAATCTATGGACACGTCCGTGGATCCTTGCGACGATTTTTATAAGTGAGTAAATGCACGTTTGTTTGTGGTTGTCTTCAATTACATATTTCTTTTGAATTTAAAAAAGCTGTACACGATTTTTAGTAATTGTAATGTGCAAACATCACTATTGCTTTTATATGATTAATTTATATTATTATTTGGTTTTGTATGATTAATTCATATTATTAGTTGGTTTTGTATAATTAATTTATGTTATTATTTGATTTTATATGATTAATTTATAATATTATTATTCTTTAATTAATTATTGATTTTAATAAAAATATATTTGTCAGATATGCTTGTGGCAAGTGGTCCGAGGAACACCCTATGCCAGACAACAGTTTAACAAACTCGTGGTTCGAAGAACGCAGGGAACGTGTATTCAGGAGGATCAGAGAACTCTTGAGAGACAATGTAACGAGAAATAACGCACCGTGGGCTGTCAGTCAGGCTAAAATATTGTACAACAGCTGCATGGTCGTGCGTACGTTGGTATTTCGTTCAGTAATTTATTTTCCATCCTGCAATACAGACGCTTAATTTACAATTTGTTAATTACGTGGCAACAGCATTGTAATTGCCATTATACGGTTTTATAACATTCGTTTGTAATCTGCATTGCTAGTTTTATTATTAGTTTACTAAAATGTTACGCTGCAGCTTTAAGGAATGTGATTGGATAAAGTCTTACATCATTACTTTTTAAGAATTCCAAAAAAATGCAAATCCAAAAATGAATAGATTGTGTACAACGTCGAAGAAAGTAAAAGGAAATTCCAGACATCATTGTTATCTAATACAATCAAGATTCTAATATGAGAAATAAAGTACTCTTTTCATAATAACTCGATAAATTATGATTGAGATCACTTTCATTATCATTTCCATCGCATCAAGGTTCACTAACCATGACAGAAAATTGTCGCAAATTGGCTCAAAATGTTCTCTTTAATATCGCTAAATTTGCATACAGATTCGAAAATTGCAAGGTTAATTTCAGTTTCATTAACATTTTTGTCTCTAAACGAGTGTTCGGTAATTGTTACGAGAAACTGGAGCTGGCGAAGTTCAGAGCTTCATTTTTTCCAGACGCCGTGGACGAGTTAGGGCTCACGCCATTGTTCGAGCTATTGGAGGAGCTCAATTTGCCAGCGATTCCTTCGGCGTTTACCAAGAAGAGGAGTGGTTATATCGAACAGATGGCTAGAGTGAAGAAAGTTCTTGGAAGGGACGTCTTTTTCGGGTTCGACGTGATTCCCGATCCACGGAACACCACCAACAACATCATGCTGCTGGACACACCCATCTTGAGCAACCCTTTGCCCAAGTATAATCTCATTCACTCTTATTGGATCTACCTTGCCCATCTCATCAGGGTTTATAGAGGATGTAAAAGAAGTAATAGCCACTGTTCACGAAAAAATTAGTTTCAACTTTAACCGTCACTGCATTAAAATAATAATAACTGATTCACGATATCTTAATAGTTAATAATATATTTAATACGTTAAAGTTGTTCAATGTTGATACTCACAGGTTAAATGATTTATTATTTAACATTTTTGAGTTAATAAATCATTTAATTTTTGCGGATCGAAATTGAACACTTTCGTTTATGAAAATAACTTAAAAATGGACAGATTTGTTGAACTCAAGGTTTCAAACAAGTTCAACGTATTTTACAGATATTTTGCATTGTTTGAGATATTAAATTATATTACAAATTGAACAGATTGTTCGAAAGTAAATTTACTAATTTGGTAAGTTCAAAGGATTACGCTATTACCTCTTTGCTAATTTTTTCCCTTCTTTTTCGTTCCTCTTTCGTCCGGTTCGAATCAAGGTGATCGATATCACGTGCCATTTATCACATTATCTACAGCTAATAGCCCCTCCCTCGCGAATCGATGGAGTAAATATTAGAAAAAGATGCATATCTCGTGGGTGCTAAATACGAAGTCACTCGAACGCTTATCGATCAAGTTACATTGTAACAATATTCGCGTGACAAACGTGTAAAATAGTCCTTGAAAGTGTCATAAAATGTCACAGTTCTCGACCTTGTAACGGATATACTTTCATATAAAATGATTTTGATGGCCGTGTCACTAGCTATTTATAGAGTTTCGTTTTTGTCTTCCGCGATTGCTTACCTCACGCTCTTCGTATTCATTATTTATTGTGTTAATTTGTACAGCAACAAAGAACTGGAGAAACGATTGCACTCGATCAGATCGCGTCTCAGGAAGCTGGACGAAGAAGTGGAAATCGAAGAATTGAGTAAATACGCGAAGGCAGAAATGGTTTACATGAGCGACGTCATTAAGCAGGTTGTCAATAATGGCACTTTAGATTCCTGCTCTTTGAACAGTAATTTTTCGTTCCCTGATGCAGAAGAGCTCGAGGATGTTGTGGACAGTCTTTTTGACTTCACTACTATCTTGTTTTACGTGAGTATTTGTTTAAATAAAAGAGCAAATGGCCGAATAATATGATAAATGGAAAGGAATTTTCTTTAGTTATGAAAATTAGTGGCGCGAGAGCTGTAAATTACAAAGGATCGTGATTAAGAGACCGCTATATTGGTTAACTTATTATTGCTCTAATATTGTTCCCACAATTGCGCTCGTTAGAAGTATTTTATTGTTAATAACTTACTAGAGATAAAAAGGAGAAATTAAATATTATTTATTAACGAATTTTACATGATACTAGGAAGGCAAGGGGTTAATTATATGAGTCATTTTCTTCCAGGCTTCTCGTTCAGAAACTAATGATACAATATGGGATGAAGACCCCACGGATGCAGATTATATGTCGGTCGATGAGCTTCAAAAGTTAACAGACGCGTACGTAATGGAAGTTAATTCTTCTGTCACGCCGAAACCATTATGGCGGCCATTCATCGAGATGCTTTTTAAAGATATCAGTACTATAGACCTAAATGGCAAGGATAAAGTATTGGTCGCAAATTTGGAGTTTTTGAAGGAAGTTGCTGTTATGTTGGCTACTACCGAGGAAGAAGAATTAGGTGAATTTAGTTGTTTATTGATTTGATTATCCAAAAAAGATAATTAAGATAATTAAGAATAAATATTTTTATATCTAAGTCTGACAAAAACTGTTATTTTCATTTATTCTAGAGACTTACATATGGTGGGTCATAATAGACATTATAGTTCCTCATTCGTCAGAGAACTTAAGAGATATCTGGCTGAAATACGTGAACGAGATAACCAGTGTCGAGGTTGGCGATTCAAAATCGATCCTTTGCGCTGCCGCGGTGAACGAACTGATGGGTCAGTCGATGAAGTTTCTTTTACCAGTTTTACATGTTTACGCTATTTCTTTATATAAACTTAAACATTAAGTTTCTTGATGATGACGCATCGAACGAACCGAATGTTGTCGGTTATACGAGATATAGAAAAGAAAATAGAGCAATTATAAAAAATGATAAAACTATAAATTATAAATGATAAAAAGTCTTGACTTCTTACCTTCTGCTTGATGAAAAAAACTATTTCGACTGCATAAGAGTCTTGACGACTGTTTACTTGCCAGTCAAAGTGTTGTTCGCCGCGTCTAGTTTCTAGAATATAGAACTTTGCATAAGATTGAAAACAGGTAGGGTTCCACTGGAACTCCACTGTGCAATTCGAAGGTCCTCTGACCGTTGTTTATCCAATGATTTAGGAATGGCGGTGTCTTGGCTATATGTGGATCGATCCTTTTACGAGGATCAAAGCAAAAGGGTATTCGAGATGATGAACGATATAAAACAAGCATTCGACTCGCTGGTTTTGAAAACCGACTGGATGGATAAGCAGACAAAAACTGCGACTTTGGAGAAGAACAGGAAGATGGAGTCGCAGATCGGTTTTCCTGATTGGCTATTCGATGAAGATGTCCTTAATGAATATTATGAAGGCGTAAGAGTTGATTAGAATTTGACGTTTTCTCTTTGTTCTTGCATACGATGCAGTGAAGAAAATTAACTTGCGTGTTTTCAGATAGACCTCTCGGAGACAGGATACATGACCAACATGGTTCAGATTGTTCGACTGATGTCTGTGTCGGAGCTGGAATGTATTCATGAAATAAATTATAATAATGTGTCCTAGTAAGTTGATTGAACTTGATATTTAAAGAATAAAAAAGACAAGTTGATCAAGGTGAAATCGAACGATATTGTAATTGATTTCATGATTGACTTCTATTTTTCAGTTGGGCGACCGATCCTACGGACGTGAATGCATTTCATACGTACCAGTTCAATCACATAAGTACGTATTAATATAGACATTAGTGATATATCACCTAAAGTAACCTCTGCATTAATTGAAGCGTTTAATAATCCTTAATCGATCCATTGATCTTCTTTCTAATAAACATGCAGCTGTACCAGCTGGAATTCTTCAATTCCCATTTTATGAACTGGGTCTCGAGTAAGATGATATTTAATACTCAATGTTTCGTTAATGTATTTGACGCCCTAATGATTTTCATTGATTAGTGTGTTATCAATTGTCCTTACAAATAGATAAGAAGTGAAGACTGCAATGTATCTTGAAAGGTATTTCATAAATCCTTTATTTACCATTAGAGCTCTAAACTATGGCGCCATTGGCGCAGTACTTGGCCACGAATTGACCCACGGTTTCGACAATAGCGGCAGACACTACGACAGCGATGGCAACGTGAGGCAATGGTGGACTAACGAGACTATCTTCGAGTACACCGAAAAGACCGAGTGTTTTATAAAACATTACAATAGCTATTACGAAAAAGAGGCAAGTAAATGAATATTTTATTTTCCACGTGAATCGGAAAGTCAGTTTTCATTATTTTTATTATACATACTTTCAATTGGTCAAATTGTATTATATCCCGTATATTAAAACTGTACCGTTTCATTTTATCAATTTAATATCTATTAGTTACATCAACTTCCATTATTAATACATTCGAGATCGATAACGTAATCCTACGTCATTTCGATTTTTGAATAACAGTCACTTAATCCTACAGAATTTCGAAACCTATAGATTAAATAGATAGTTAATTACACAGTAGATAGACTTTGGGAAAGTATATGCAGTCGTGAATGTTTAACAGACTGCAAACTATGTGATTGCACGCAAGACAACAACATATGCTAATTCACGTTTAATTCTGTTCACCACAGGTAGATGATTACGTTGATGGAGAGCGAACGTTGGGCGAGAACATAGCAGATAATGGCGGCCTTAGGGAGGCTGTCATCGCTTACGAAAGATGGAAGGCCAGGCACGGTCAAGAGCCCCTGCTTCCGGGATTCACTCATCTCACTCACGAGCAGCTCGTTTTCCTCAGTTTCGCGCACGTAAGATACCTATCCTCTCATCGAGGATTACTCAACATGGTGTTCCGTTGATGGAGATTCGTTGTTTGAGACAGAATCGCTGATGCTTTCGACGCGAAAGCTTTTATCGCGCGGCTGCAAACGAAGTCTGGAACTTGGATTTTTATGCTAATTTCAAATCGATACAGACTATTTAAAGGAAATAAAAGTGAAACAGTCACCTCGTGTCTCTGTCAAAGATTCCCTGCCATCGAATCTGGAATTACGAATTCATTCAAGTTATTCAAAATATTAAATAAAGTAAAGTAAATCAACTGTTTCCTCACTGTTGACTTCGTATGAGACTGATCACATTAAAATATTTAGCGAGACATATTAATAACTGCTTGTTTGACTTGGATGGCGTGTACTTCAGATATCTCTAATTTAATAAATTGCAGCGAAGAGTATTGAGCTAACACATCCGCCTAATTTTCTGCGTTAATGTATCGTGAATGATGTTGTGTAAACAGAAGATCAATGATTCATCGAAAGTGATTTAAATGTCCCTGACCTGAATGATCGGTTCCACTGAATGACATATTTGAAAGTTTACGTTATAAAAAGCTGTAGATTACCATCGAGGCAAAAGTTTGTTATGAGTGGGTCAACAAGAGACCTATATAAAATTCTTTTAAACAATAATGTTGAACAATACGTTTTATATTTATGTTGGTAAAGGAACTGCGTTTTCTATATATTTGTCATTAAACAGAAAAGTGTTATTAAGTATTAAATACTATTCATATCACTTTTGAAAATACTCCAATCTACAACCATTAATATTACTGTCTGACGTATCGATTTCTTCATTTGCTTCAGGTGTGGTGCGAGGCGTACACGACGAAAGCTTTGAAATGGATACTGCAGGACACTCACTGTCCTGGTCACGTGAGACTGCACGGTGTACTGAGGAATTCGGAGGAATTTAGCAACGCCTGGAATTGCCCTAAGGGATCAAACATGAATCCACCGGAGAAGTGTCATGTATGGTAATAATTACGAAAAAATTGTGTTCCATCTTTCAAGGTAAGATCCGGAGATATCAAAGTCGTTCCATAAGGAATTGGAGAATAATTACCCGAAGACTCGACACAATACAAGACGCAGTAAAATCTTTAAAATAATCCTCCAATGTCTTATGGAACGATGCGATACAAGTACTGTAAACGAGCAGGATTACAATCAACAGATACGATATTTGTAATAAAAGATCTTTATTTACTTACACACTGCGTACATTAATTTTGTATATCTGCACTCCTTTCTGACGTATAAAATGGTACTGCGAAACCGACGTATTGAATGGTGCAGAAGGCTATACGTAGATTTAGTTATAAAGCATATTCACGCTGTGGAGGACGCACAATAAAGAAAATAAAAATTTCAACGGTTTCACAGAAAAAACTCAACAAATTAGTCCTCCAGTTTCTCAATAGATGTACCCTCCGGTTTCGTCGGTAGGCTGAATGTACTCGTGGCTAGGTGTGCCGTGGTGCGAGATGATGTGGTTGGGCAAGGTGTCACCGCGAAACAACGGATTGTCAACGGTGATCGAGTCTACGTGCTGGCTCGAAATGCTAGACGGAGTGGACACTTCGATCGGACTGACGGTGGTCACACCGTGGCCCAGTGACGGGAACTGTGGCAAAGACGGAAGGGAAGGTAGCTGGGGTAGCGATGGCAAGCTCGGCAGGCTAGCCCCAATTCCGGTGAAGAAGTCAGAAATTGGGCCCCTTTGGACATAGAGATTTTTCTGGATGATAGGATTGGTCTTGGTATGAACCACTTCGGTAATGCCGTGGGCTGGCTGAACAGATGGCAGAACCTCAATAGAGTCGACTGCAGGAGCCAGAGTATCTATATGGCCCTCTGTATGGCCCACTGATGTCAGATGATGGCCAGGGTGTAGTGGAGCTATAGGCTGAATAGGGCGAACAGGGTGCACTGGTGTCAGTGTCTCGACAGTTTTGATCGAAGACACAGGATGAACAGAGTGGATACTGGAGTGGATGGTAGGTTGAATTGAAGTCAAGGCTCCTACGGATTTAACGGATGTTAAAGCTGGGCCAGTGTGAATTTGATGTGCATGGCGAATTGGGGTCAGTGTCTCCAGACTTCTGATTGCTGGCAAAGGCTGAAGAGTGGGTTGGACGGCTGGTAAAGCGTGGGCAATAGTGCTCACTGCAGGCTGGATCGTAGGCAGAGTCTCTACGGTTCTGATCGATGTCAAAGGTGCAGGATGGTGAACTGTGTGAATGGGGTGGTGGATAGCGGGCTGAATAGTTGGGAGAGGGTGAGTCAGAGTCTCCACGGATTTAATGGATGGCACTGGATGCAGGGTTGGCAAGGGTTCGAGAGTTCTCAGGTGCGTGTGCGCATGGGGAGGAATTGCTGTTACCGTTTCCAAGGTTCTAGCTGATGGGATAGTTTCAGTGACATGAGTGAGGGTTTCTGGGATAGACAAGTCGGCTCTAGCGTATCCGCTGATCTGACCAAAAGGTTGAATGTTCTTGGTGATCTGGACGGAGGTCAGAGGTGTATCAACGTGGAGGGATTTCAATCCGTGGATTGAGGTTAGGCCTGCGTCATTATTGATTGTCTTCAGTCCGTGAATTGATCCCAGAGGTCCTTCAATGTTGAGGGATTTCAATCCAGCGAATCCTGTGTGGAATCCTCCGTTCAGCGTGGTTTGATCATTCGTGAGTAGTGTAGGTGTGTCCAAAGTGGGAATTGCTCCGATCGTGCCGCCGACCGTCTTTGTGACGGTTACTGATGGCAGGCTCTTGATTCCGGTAACGCGAGTTACTCCTGCAACGATAATCGATCGTAGAAATTCGAGTTTGGATGAAATTTGATGATTTTAATATTCTATGTCTCTTGAGATTTATTAGTTGTACTTCAGTGACCACGGCTATGGAACTTTCAGAATATTACTGAGTCTTCTAATGATTCTAAATGTGTCTACGATGCATTCAAATAATATGAAATCATTACATTGAGATTATACTTTACTAAGTTCTTTAAATGAACATGTCACGTGAAATCTAGCGAATCTGCAGGAAGTATGTTACACTCGTGATCCGTGGAGTTGCAAGAAACTGCTATTAAAATATTTCTTTATCAACACCATCTCGTTAAAATTTCAATTCTTGGAGTGAAAAAATGCGACGGCATAAGAAAAGAGAAATCATTTAACATGAATACTAAAAGTATCGTGTTTTATTTCCAGACGAGCCTGGGTGTCTAACATTTTTGGTGCATAAATTATAGATACACTGCTATTTGTCAAGCCATCGTAGGTTGACCAAGCCACCAAAATGTATTGACACTATTTCGAAATCGTAGTGTTGCGTTATATGGGTTTGAGATCTTGCTAGTTTTCACATGTAAACGGCCTTTTTCAAGAAAAAGGTGGAAGAACGTTCTTACCTTGGACAAGAGGCGCGTGTTCGGCAATCCTCCCCACGGGTCTGGGCAGTTCCGCTAGGGTCTGGCCATGAATTTCAGTTTTGACTGTCTTCACCGCGGGCCCGTAGTGTGTGCGGGTTCCCAGAGTCTGAAAAAAAGTGAATGCTCGAATGTTGTTCGCAGCTAAAATATCAGAACAGCTTTTCTGATGAATATTAATTTACCTTGAGATGCCCGATCACTGGAGTGCCGTAAGATGTGGATGGTGGCAGAGCGGTCACCGTCTGGAAATTCACCGAATGATGAAAGTGTATTATGACTACGACGGAGTGGCAAAACAATGTATAAGTCATGCGTTCCCATCTTCAAAATGTCATGGCTTACGAATGAATCTACTTGATCTGGTTGATTTTAGGTTTATCGTATTATTCCCGAATGTTAATATGTTGAAAATGTGACATATATTTTATTTTTTCGCTGAACTGTACCTGGACCTTCTCAATTGGAAGTGGGAATGATGTGCTCGACACCGTTGGTCGCAGACCAACAAAGGATTGTCCTACAACGGTCTTGGTCACCTGAGGTGTCTAAAAGAAAACATAATATATTAATTCGTTTGTCCACTTACTGACAAGACAATTTTATCTTTTGTATCATGAAATGAGTGTAGTGTACTCGCAGATCGATGCTAGTCTTTTAACTCATTCGACGAGACAAAAGATATCACAGAGCTATCTTGGATTATTAATTTCATTTATTCTACTTCAGAGTACCTTATATTATTGGAATCAGTAATTTTTTCAAGTAATTACACGCTATTGTAATCAGCAACTTCAAGTTTTCCAAATAACTAGATGCTATCGCGATCGTTAATTTTTTTAAGTAATCATAGCTTACTGCAATAGTTGGCAGCGGACCGGCATGTCTGAAGGAATCGATGACTGGTGTCAAGTAGTCGTTGTTCAATGGAAGACCTGGTTGATAGGTAGGGGGTCCATAGATGTTCTGGGAAAGACCCTGTGACAACGAGAGCGAGCTGTCAGGGATGCTATAAGCGTAGCCACCGACAGCCCTCGCGCTTTCTACCACGGTGTTAGTGGGATGATGATGATGGTGATAGTCAGTCCCGTATCGTGGATCGCCAGGAAGAATCTCCCTCTTCTGCTTTTGTTCCGGCGCAGCTAAACAAGCCGCCAGGCAGGTCTGAAATAGTTTTTGGTTTATACGTCAGTTCCTTTTCATGGATATTCGAGCCTGTTTTTCGATCCATTCCATGATTCTGCGAATCGACGGCGCAAAGAAAGAGGAAGAAGCTCGGGGCAGTCTGGCGAGTCTTTGTTGTTTATCAATTTTAGCGCTGTTTTTATAGGCAGACATCGACACAATAAATCAGACGTGTTGTTTATTAAATTTTTACTTGAAAAGGTTTATGATACACTGATTTAATGAAGGTTAAAATTTGCATTTTGAGTAAAAAGCGAGGATCACTTTACTCAAGATACCATAATGCAACAAACATTCAAAAGAATAATTACCTATACATTATAAGATGAATCTTCGATTATTGTATATTACAAAATGTGTTTAAATGAATATTTAGGAACGATTAAATGTTGATAAAGATAATTAGTCAAAGTGTTTAGCTCTCCTTTCTTATACCCATGAAAACACTCTACTACCAACATGACTACCCTATGCATTTTACTTATACAAAATTCCCAGTAAGACTAAACATTCTACTAACGTTTACCGTTAGTTCTCTAATTATACCTAAGTAAAAGTGTGAACAATCAGAAGAAAACTTGATAGTAAAACAAGACAAGTTCGATGGGGTTGATAACGGAGGATCCTTACCAGAGCGATCAGCAGGAGCCTCATGTTGAGCGGGTGATGTTTGGATGAGGATTTGAGTGTCATCCCAAAGATAGTTCGACCTTTTATACACGGCCGATGCTCCCACCAGTTTATTTCATAATCCGTTGGCATTGGGAGAACTAGATTTTTAATTGACTCCTCCTGAAGGCCTACACCTCGAAGATGTTCCGAAACGTTTCCTGCATAGGTGACCGCGGTGATGTAGTGGTGGTGGAGCGGCCCACCGTGGCGGCGCACGCGAAAGAAAACAGAATTAGTGTCTTTCTGTCTCTCTTCCCATCGTTCTTCCAGCATTTTACTCTCGATACTTTATTCCGGCACGGAGGGCACGAGGATGATTTATGCAAATCTCCGGACAACATCTCGGACGTACTCTTTCTTTGCTTCTTCTCCGGACTCTCTCCTGTTTCTCTGGCGTCCCTTGGACGCGAGCCCATTATCAGGCTTCGTTACGAGAACAGGAAGCTTTTAAAAGATTCGGATAACAAGGATTCTCGGTGTCCACACATTAATGGACCCTCCGATGGCTGAATATCGATCCAATTTCGCTCTCGTTTGCCACGTGCAGCCATTCATTCCCTGTCGACTAGGTCTTTTTGGGGGCTCGGGTGTTACGAAATTGTTTTTTCTTTTCGACGATAAGCCTTGCATAATTGGTCGATGGGACAGGGGTTCTGTTGTATTAATCTCTGAATGCGTAACGGTTCTTTGGCAATTCTTTTTGGAGATATTTTGATGATTTGGTGGTTTTATGTAGAGTAGATTGTAGTAGTATAGTAGTTTTAAATGGAGTAAATGGTAGTACTTTAATATTCTTACGTAAGGTAAATTTTAGTAATTGAATGTCTTTATATAGGGTACAGTTCAGTAATTTAGTATTCTAGGG